GGATCAAAAGTTTCAAATACCAATTGGTAACACTAGAACAAAAGGTTTGTTGTGTTAATTTAAACAAAGCTCTAAATCCCTTTTTTTCTTTCCTTATTGCAAAACCATTTTCTGCAACATAAAGAATCAAATATTATTAAAAAAAAAATTATCAAGTAACCAATCAAAATTAAAAACATGTTTACATATTACCTTGAACATGATTTAAAATGAGCGATATGAAGATATAAGAAATCATGAACAAAGTAGCAGACCTCATAATTCAATATAGCCTATAGAAAATTTGCAGGTTTTGTTTGCTGAAAATGAAATTTATTAGTTGTGTAATTGTTGTAACAAGATATTTATGTATATAATAATCACATCCTGCAGGTATATTATATGGTAATCATATCCTCAAGATATAAGATAGATATTTATTTATATATATTTTGGCAGCTGAATTCCTAAAAATTGTTTTAAAAATTAATTTTAAAATTTTGGTAAAGTTATAATTGCTTGCTACGTAAATAAAATATGTTTTTATATATATATATATATATTGTTTGGACTAAACCGTTAAGAACTATAATTTCTAGGGATTTATGTATCATCAGTTATTAGCAAATGAAAATTTGACATATATCCATCTATTAATTACATATAAGGACTCTTTATTTTAAATCCAATTATTTCAAAAGTCATTATAACAAAAACATAAATAAATGAATTTTAAATTTCATTTAGAAAAAAATAAAAATAAATAATATGCTATTTTAAAATATTTTTGTTTTCATTTTTGTGAGGTTTGGTCATTATCACCAACTAACGAGGATAAGCAAATGAAATTTGACATGTGTCCATCTACCAATTGGAGATAAAATTTCTTTCATTGAAATTCAACTATTTTATCATTCAAACATAATCCTAAATAATAAAATTTAAAGTTCATTCGAAAAACTATTAATATATAAATAATAAAAATATGAGATTTTAAAATATTTTTTTTGTGAGATTTATTCATCATCTATGAACTAACGTGACTAATCTAATAATTTTTTTTGGATTAAAAAACCTTCATTAATTTAAGGAGTTTACAACAAAACTGAAAAAAACCATGAATCATTAAACATAAATCAAACCAGAAAAATGAAAGCTAAACAAATGCCCTAACAAGAAGAAGCCCAAGAAAAGGGAAAGGGAGTCGAAGCGTGGACAAATACCAGGGGAAACAGCATAAAGCTGAAGACGTCAAGCCGCAGACCAGATGCGCCAGAGTCCAAACCCAGCGACTTCAAGGCTAAAGCCTTGTTTTTCAGCTATAGACATTACTGAGAATAGCTATAGGAGGGAGCGTAATACCATGATGAAACCTTGGGGTTCTTTCCTTCCAGATCTCATCGATGATGGCCTGCCAGCCAAGGGTTTAAATAAAAAAAAATTGGCATGTACTCATCTATTAATTGCATATAAAAACTCTTCATTTAAATTCAACTATATATTAACAATCATTAAAACATACAAATAAATAAAATTTGAATTCGGTTTTAAAAACTACTAACAGATAAAATTTATTATATAATTAGAGAGTTTTCTCTCCATCTAAGATGTCTACATCAGAAAAAAAAAATAAAACTAAATTTAATGAGTCAATCAATTTTCACTTAACAATTATTTTTATTAAAAAAAGCACAAATACTAAAATTAATGATTTAATTATTCACATACAGTTTATTTTTATTAATTTTTTTTAACAAAACTAATAGTAAAATAGAAAAAAGAATAAATTAGAAAAAACGACTATGATAAACAAAAATCCATAGATGATGAAAAAATTAAAAAAAAAAAAGACGATATAGATGAAGACAAAAACAGAAAAATACATACACCAGATAAGTAAGAATAAGAGATAAAACAAAATCAGAAAAGAAATAAAACAAAAAAAAAAAAAAGATGAAGAATAATAAGCAGAAATCAGAGATGATGAAGAGGAAGATGAAAAAAAAATAATAGAAAGAAAAAGAACACAAAGCTCATGAAGAAGAATTTTGAAAAATACGAAGACAAAAACGTTGAAGATGAGAAAGAAAATCGGAAGATGAAGATGAAGATGATAAAGTATGAGAATATAAAGATGGGAAAAAAGTCTAATAAAATCAAAAAATTTAAGAACAAAAAAAAGATAAATACGATGAATTAATTGTTCAAATATTCGAAATAATATTTGTTTAAAGATGAAATCCGCGCAACACGCGGATTATAAATCTAGTTTAAATAATACAAGATCTTAAAATATTTTCTCATTCAATTTTGCGAGATTTGATTGTCATCTTGGAACCCGTTATTTAATAATCAAAAAGAGAAAGTTTCTCTCTTTTCCTCTTGGCATCATAGCATACAAATGAAAAAAAGAATTAATTGGTTTTATTTTCCTAATTAATAATAAGAATAATTAATAAATAAATTGATCTAAACATATCAAATAAAAAGAAAAAATCATAACTATATTTAAAAAAAAAACCAAAATCCTTTGATATCCACCACAGTATTTTTTAAATTTATTAATAAAATAATTTTCAATGATATATGTGGTAAAATATTTTATTATATAAAATTAAATCTTTCAATCTGTCATGACACGCGAAATAGTTATAACTCTTGAGATCAAGATATGTATCATTTTTTATTTAGATAATGACATGTATTAATGTAATAAAATAAAATTTCTAATTTAAATAAATATTACTAAAATAAAAAAAATAAGAAAAAAATAGAAATTGCGAAATAAAAAAATATATACAATATATATATATATATATATATGGAAAAGGATTCTATTGAACCTCCTAATGGATCAGTGACAATAAAGAGAATAATATGGAAGCTTGAATTCTACCGAAGATTAAACACTTTCTCTGGCGTGTACTATTGGGTGCTATACCAACAAATGAAAGGCTTTCAACAAGAGGGATTCAACTAAATACAATATGCCAAAGATGTTGTATGGAAGAGGAAACCATAAATCATATTATATTTCAGTGTCAATATGCTTCTGCGGTTTGGAGATGTACAAGTATGAATCATTTTAATAACCCTTCTAATGACTTACAATCAAACATCTTGAAGATTATGGAGTCTGAAAAAGAAGAACGATCTCCTAAGCACATGCAACTATTATCTTTCTGGGTACTATGAAATATCTGGAAATCACGTAATGAATTTCTATTTGACCAAAGAAGTGTTCATCCAGATGACGATGCACAACGAAGTATCTTGGGAGTCAATGAATGAACGACATCATTAGATACAGCAAACAAGGATGCAACAAATACGTCATTATCTTATTCAAAGAGTTCTGAATGGGAACCTCCTCCACAAGGTTGGTTAAAATGCAATTTTGACAGCAGTTTTCATGTTGGACAAACCTGCACAGGTACAGGATGGATATTGCGAGATTACCAAGGAAAACACATAATATCAGGAAATACAAAGTTAAGAGAAGTTAGTACATCTCTGCAAGCTGAAGCCATTGGCTTTCTACATGTTCAACAAACAATATGGTCACAGGGTTGGAGACAAGTCTGGTTTGAAGGAGATAATATCGAATTGGGAAATCTAATCAATAGAGGTGGGGATTCGACAAAAATTGGGAATACTCTAATTGACATCAGATATTGGATTCAGAAGCTACCACAATGTTCATTAGACAAGGTGATAATCAAGTTGCTGATATGTTGGCAAAACAAGCTTTTAACTCTGTCTCAATATATTATGTTTTCTATGTACTGCCTAAGTGGCTTGTAAACAAATTGTACCACCCTTTTACAATTTAATAAAATAGATGTTAGAAAAAAAAACCAATATATACAATTAACTTTATAATTTCCGTTCTGGAATATCCCTTCTTCTCCTCTACAAATGTGAAGACCTCATTAGCACCAACTGCCAAATCTATTCCTTCTTCATAAGTTTCCCCAACATAACAATATATGTTAAGAATACCAGACGGAGAAGTGAATTGGTTGGATATTGTTACGTTACTTTTCAGAGGCATGCTTTGTTCAATTCAAAATACATAACAGTAACTAACATAAAAGAAATGAAATAGTTTATTTTTTAAAATCCAAGATAACTTTTAGAATAACAAAACATCAAATTTGTGTATTTATAGTTCTTTTGTGTGGATATTCTTTTTCAGTTATTACGAATATGAGAATGAACAAAAATATTTGGTCATACAAAATTTTAGTTCTATTAAAAAATGACCATACCTTTTTATGGATTTTCTTACTAAAATCTTGTATGACTATGAATTTAAGTAATAATTCTACAAAAAAAATAAATGGTCATACAAGATTTTTGTAGATTTAGTAATAAAATATATTGTAGAGTTCTGTAGATTTTATGAAATGCAATTACGTTTTGAATAAATTAATTACCAAATAATTCCAAGTCTGTACTTAGCTAGTATGTTGGACCAATACCTAAATCTTATGAAGGATTATTAGAAGAAATTAATAAATACATAAAATGCAACTTTGTTGTAATTAAACAAAGAGCATAACTTAAAATCAGAGATCTAGTAATAAAGCTTGAGAGTAAAGGTTAGATTAGTTTAGTTGTGACTTGTGAGTGCCGTTGTTGCGGCAGTCTCCTTATAATAGTTTCTAGTTTCCACAAACCCCCGTGTTCCATTCCCACAAAACCCCGTGTACTGTAACGTGCTTTCTTTGTCGTTTGTCGGATCTCATGACATATACAGATTCATGTATCTTCTTGTAACGTACTCAATATATATTTTATTTTCCAAATTTTAGTACAACGATATATATATTGACAACAAAAAAAAACAATAATGTTAAACATAAAACAATCTTCATGTAAATTATAGTTTAAAAATGCTGGCCAATAATATAGGTTTTGGCACCGCCGCGCCTTGTTATTTGCTACTGACTCTTACAATGCACCATGCAAAAATTTAGTAAATACTTAAATTATTGGCCAGCATTTTACAAGGTGGATTTATCTCGATCGTGTTTCTTGCACCTCTCTTATTGGTGTTGTGAATTCTGTATGTGGAGTTTGTTGCCAGAAGGTAGATTGGATAAGTGGAGGTTATTCTTATCAAAATGTTTTACTTGTTATGTCGTTTATTCGAAATGTGCTACCACAGGATGTTTGAAATATTCGGGGAAGAACCGAAGAACTCGAAGGTATAACTGAAGAAACAGAAGATACAACGCCATATGTGGTAATAGATGACAACACAATACATTATTTCAGCCACAAAATTTCATTACTTAAGACTCAAACGCTAATGGTTTTGTCTGCAAGGAGAACAAGCGTTGCAAAGCATGTGCCCATCCTATCTGGCTACAATCCTTCTATGGCTGTATGGATTGTGATTTTGCATACTTTTTGATCTTATTAACTGCCTATATACTGTTGGTTACTTCTGTGAAGCCAATACATTCCTTTTAGTTCCTTTTATCCTTCCTTGGAACCATGAGTCGATTTCCTCCTTGTACTATCTTATCTAAGAATTTTGTAATCTTGATTTGATAAGGATTTTGCATACTTTTTCTTTTTCTTTTTCTTTTTCTTTTGCAAATTGGGTTGGTAACCCAGGTTTTGTGACGATTATTTCCACGAGGTGAGATCGTACGGTTACGATGAATCTTATACGGAAGAGAGTGATCGTACGGTTAAGGATGATGAGGAAGAAGAGAAAGGGGTGGATGTGAGAGCAGATGAGTTCATTGCTAAGTTCTATGAGCAGATCAAGTTGCAGAGGCAACTCTCTTATTTGGAAGACAAAGAACACAACGACAGAATCAAATGTTTGTTAATTTATTGAAGAAATGGGCAAATGATACCTCTTTCTGCTGCTGGAGACGTTTCAAATAAGTAGATTGTTTTCTGCGGAGCTCCATGGAGAGGTTCTGAAGATCTGTTGCAAGAGAACGCTGTCAAAAACAGTATGTCAAAGAGTAGGTCAAGTCCATTGGAGAGCCCCGCTAACACATGTAGACAGAACTTTAATCTCGAGCTACAAACTTGAGACATAGAATAACACAAAGCTTGTGAAAGAGAAGAAAAAAACAAAAAAAACAACCAAATTTACTTCATACGTTTCGCTAACTGATAATGTCAACTAGATTGGTAATGAAAAGATTTTCTTAGAACGACTTAACCCAGATTCCCATATCTGATTCTTCTAACAGCACAGAAGAAAAGGTAATCGCCACACACTGTCTTTATCGTTAACAAGCTCAATACTGGAAAAGTCCAACAATACCTGCACATTTTTCCTGAGATTTGATTCTTCTGAAGGCCCTCTAGTAGATAACTTCTGCAACCTCTTTTCTGAGTTCCTCAACAGATCCGTGATTTCATGAGTGAGCATCTCGACCGCACGTTGATTCCCTTTGTTATCTCCAAACGTAGGCATTAAAGCCTTTGAATGAGCCTTTGCTAATTCACCCATTTTGTCTCGAACCTTTTGTATATTAAAAGTTATCTCCTCAGAATCGTCTACCCAAGCTGGTGGGAGACCTATTGTGAAGGCATCGCTACTGCACAAACATTCACAATTAACAATAAGTCTGTATTTCCCTTGGAAAGGATATGAACACAAAATTAAAGGCACACTTCAATTCGATCATGATTCATCAAGAAAATTTCTCAGCCTGAGAAACTAATGGATCGAAATCTGTTGAATCATATGGATCAAAAAGAAAAATGGTATTTGCTTCCCGTGAGTTGCATTTGTTTAAATCACACTCTGCAACCTAAATCGCTTAGGGTTCTAATTCCGTACCTACGTTTTTTCTTGCGAACCAATCATGATTACAACTTGTTTCTATGTATAATCCAATAGTTGCCACCATTTTTGCAGAAATCAAACAATACATCCATAACCATGACAAAACGAAACGAACAAGAACACAAAAATTACCTCGACGGACCAGGATCATTGGAATTCAAAGGAGCATAAGAAGAGTGATTAGACCGAGCAAACGAGCCGCTAACCATTTCGATCACCGGACCACTGAACGAATCAGGCGCCGATAAAGATAAAGGAGCTCGCGCGCTCTTGCACGCATCCCTGTGCTTCCTGTACACCGTCGTTCGGTTCCTCGTCGCCATTCAAGCAAAATCAATTTCGAAACAATCGAATCTCAAAATCAATTACAGTAGAATTTTCCCGGAAAATTTTGGGATTTTTATAACACAAGATCGGATTTCACCAACGGGTGTCGTAGGAAGCTATGAATCTGAAAATCGCAAAATGTTTCTGCTTTAGCGCGTGCTGTGTAGACTTAGCCACAAAGGAGAATTATTTGGGCTTTAATAAATGGGCTTTCAGACTCATTTAAATATGAGGCTTTTTTGCACACTTGCTCAATGACTTGGGGTCAATATATTGCAAGTAGGTGTGTGTCGATCACACGTTCTAAGACGATGACGCACTTAAAAAGTAAGCTAAAGGCTCTGAAAAGACGTAAACACCCTTAGTCTTCCATGCTAAGTAGGCCAAGCAAAATATTCATTGAGAAGAAGAGAATGAAGAAAGAGTTGAAGAGAATGAAGAAGTAGGAGGTGAGGTGGCAAAGAAGGAAAAGAAGAAGACGAAGACGAAGGCAGTGGTTGTGAGAAAATATTTGACCAGACAACGAACTGGAATTTAGGTATTATTTGGTACTTCTAGGTATTATTTGGTAGTAATAGGTATTATTTGATACTAATAGGTAGAACTATAATATAAACCACATATCTTTGTTACCATGTAGAAACAATCTGGTGTTTCAGTCAAGGAAGGGGAAGTGCAGCATGAGAAGAACAAGAAGATGAGTAGGAATTAACAGTCTCAGATGTTCCCTCTATCATGCTGTCGATTTGAATTTACGGTTTTTTTAAGAACTAAATTGTGAGATCGTGTTGTTTGCAAAATTGAAATTTATTTGAGGATATTGGTTTGTTATTGTTATAAGAATTGATTTATATTTAATTTGAGGATTTTGGTTTGGTATTAGTTGGTTTGAAATATTGTTGCTTTTTGGTTGTCGGGTAACTGTCTTGTCGTTATTAAATTATGTTATCTAAAACGACGCGTGTGGGAATAGAGAAAGGTAGCATTTGTATAGTGAGAAAAATCCTATAGTTAAACGACGCCATTAATGCATGCCACCGCTTAACTTCTTCCTCTATAAATACCACACCCTCGCCTTCTCACAACACCATCGCAGAGAAAGAAACATTCCCTAAACTTCAAAAAAAAAATCTTATCTTTCCTTTTGCTAACTCAAAACCCTAATTTCCACAAATGGCCCACTTTCATCTCAACATTCGTTCAGCGTCATCAACAAGTCCCGAGTACTGGATGCACCAATACCTGCTTGACCTCCAGCGAAACCCGTCGCCGATATACTCCGCCGGGGTGGAGGCGGAGGACGTGTTTGTGTGGGCGGCGATCATCACCGGTCCGCCGGGAACTCCCTACGAAGGGGGTGTCTTCAACCTCCGCATCATCTTCCCACCTCAGTTCCCCTGGAAGCCACCGGAGGTGCATTTCCGGACCCCCCCCCCATCAAAAACTGAAAACCAAAAATCAAAAGCGAAAACAGAATACAAAAACCTACATCGTCTTTGCATCCTACAAAGCCTAATTTTGTTCAGGCAAAAAAAAACAAGATTACAAGTATAAGCATGAGCAATCAACGCCAATCAACGCCTTATACTTGTAATCATGTTTTTTTTGCCTGAACAAAGATTAAACCTTGTATTTCCCAGTCTGCAACATCAGGTGACCAAACTCGCTGACCAAACTCTGACTCGCTGATCTGACTCTTCATCAAGTGAAATACCCATCCTTCTTGCTTTTATGGTGTAAGTACGATGGGTATTTCATCTGATGAAGAGTCTTAGATCACCGAGTAAGAGATTGATGATTATTTTTGGGTTTACGTGTTTTTGAAGGACGACATTTCTCCAGGGTAAGATCTGACTCACTGATCTGACTCTTCATCAAGTGATATACTCATCCTTCTTGCTTTTAAGGTGTATGATGGGTATTTCATCTTGATGAAGAGTTTGAGATCAGCGAGTCAGATATTGATGATTATTTTAGGGTTTATGTGTATTTGAAGGACGACGTTTCTCCAGGGTAAGATCAAAAATATATATATAGTCAAGGAGAGGATGAATAAAGAAAGCAGTTAGATTCAATGAATAAATTGTTTTTCGAGGAGTCGTGTTTCAATGTATTTTATTAATCTCATTTTTAATAGATTAATGATAATAACCAACGCCTCAATTTTCCTTAAATACCCCACCGCTCATTTCATTTCTTTTATTTCATTTAATTCATTGTAACATCTATTTATTCTCGACTTGTTATAAACCCTAATTTTCAATAACTATCTGTTCAACAAGTGAATTCTCTCAAAATGGCACGGCCGCAACTTCTTAAGATATGTTTTTGTTTTCTTATTTTGTATTTATTTTTATTTTGATATTTTCACTTAATTTGTAATTGCAATGATATCTCTGTTATTCTCGTTTCCAACATTAATTATTATTTGGAATAGAATTTTTAATTTCTTTTCAATATATTAATGATAATAAATGATATCGTTTACCAAGCTTGGTAGTTATACTAGTCTTACTTTATAATTGTAACGCGTACAGACGTCACCAACCACCCCTCATTTATCCTTATATACCCTAGTCTCCTTCTCATTTCATCACTCCACCCTTTCATTTCCTTTTAGAAAGAAACGCTTACTTATTCTTCTCGATATGAAACCCTAAAATCGTACAGAAAGTTGTTGATGAGAAGATGAGCAACTTAGGAGCCTGAGCGAAGAGTTTGGAGAAAAAATCCAAACACCAACCTCCTAAGTTGTTCATCTTTTTCATCCACCACTTCTTGCACCATCTTAGTAAGGATCCACTCAGATTGCCTTGTAATTCAGGTAAGTATTACAAATCTAATTCTTTAATATGTAAAATAACCGTACAATATGAAGAAACCTTAAATAATAGAATGTCGTATAATTGTTTACATGGGGTTAATTCGTCCAGGGTAAATTTAAGAAATTATAAGTTTTGGTACAAATTGGTATAATTAGGCCCAACTACATTCAATTTGGGGAAATTCAAATCTCTAACGGAAATTGGTATAATTCGGCCCAATTACGTGTAACTTTGGGAACCCCTAAAATCTGATACTAATTGGTATAATTCAGCCCAACTAAGTGTAACTTTGGGAACCCCTAAAATCTGGTACTATTTGGTATAATTCGGCTCAACTACGTGGTACTTTGAGAACCCCTAAAATCTGGTACTATTTGGTATAATTCAGCTAAACTACGTGTAACTTTGAGAACCCCTAAAATCTGGTACTAATTAGTATTATTCGGCTCAACTAAGTGTAACTTTGGGAACCCCTAAAATATGTTACTAAGTAGTATAATTCGGTCCAACTACATGCAAATTCTTGAAATTAAATCACTAGTACAAATTGGTATAATATAGCCCAACTAAGAGTACTTGTCAAACCATAACTCGGTAAAATTAAATTATCAGAAATTAAGGATAAGATAAGTACTTAATCTGCGAATGAAACAATCAGGGAATTAAACAATCTGGGAATTAAACAAGGATTCATTAAACAACGGAATTCTTAAAGAACTGTATCAGTTCTACACATTAAACCCTAAACCCGCCAATACGCCTTTCTACTTTGCAATCTCTTCAGTATTGTTGTCCAGCTCCATGCGCATTTGCTTGATTTGAAATTCATGGTTTAACATTTTCACAATCCTCGAGCGCAGGTCCTTAGTCTCACCTTTTAGCTTAGAAATCTCATCATCGACAGCGTGATCCCATTTTACCCTAAAATGGTAGTTGTCGTTCTACACAACAATTCATAAACTTAAACCTTATACACTTGACCCAGGAGTTTTTAATCAATCTAAATCCAGAAAATTAAAGTAATTTAAACCTTATACACTTTGCAGGTGTAATATCTCTTTCCTGGATCTTCACAAATCTCCTGGATGATTCTTCCACCACATGGGCAAACTGTTGGAATCCCAAACTCTGCATCGGCTACGTGGTAAAGGCGGTCGATAAGCTTCTTGATTCTCTTTTCGTCGCTGTAGGCCGAGTCCATAGTCGCTGTAGCAAAGAAAGTTCACAAATTTGAAGAGAGATAGAGAGAGACCCAAGAGAGAGAGACAGAATAAAATATGTAAAATGAAATTCAAAATGGGGGGAAATTCGAATTTTTCTGAATCAAGGTATTGGGGGGAAATTAAAATTTGAATTATTTTACAACTAACAAGTATTATTTAAGTATTATACGCAGAAAATGGGGCTGTCACTCACGTGGGGAATTCGCTCACGTGTCGCCGCCAATAGCTAATATCCAATAACGCGTGGACACATGTCATTTTTTCATATGAGGTTTCATACGTTTTTGTACGTAGTATAACAGTTACACACACTCTCAAGTAGTTGTACATTTCCGATTTTAACCAAAAAAGTAGTTATACTTATATTAAATTTGTAATTTGATGTGGTGGTGTTGTGTTGAGGGTTGTTAAGTTTTACCCTAAATGAAATCAATAGCCGCAAGTGCACAACTGATCGATTGTAGTACTTAGGGATCGAATCCACAGGGAAGGAGAATATTTTCCTGCAAAAACCTTCGAAAGAAATATAAAGTAAGAAAGTCTAGATCAAACGGTTTTGTGGGGGTTTTGGTGGTGTTTTTAAGATGTAGAAACGAATCTTAAAGAGAAAATACGGAAATTACAATGACATAATAACTAAACTTAGCAAAAATGAGTAAAAATGGGAAAAACGGATATCCTAATTGCTTAAATGAAAATCGACTGAAAAGGAATGAGAATATTGAACTAAAGCTTGAAATAAAAACGGTGTGAATCTATAGGAAAGAAGGCGTTGGGGTTCAGGGAAGTTTTCTCAGGGGTACGAACGATTCAAAACATTGCTAGAGAGTAAATTTGATAAGATCTTAGCTTAAACTTTTCAAACTGGAGTCACGGACGTATGAATACGCCACTGTCGTAATCATAGACAACTATCTCTCTCAACCCTGACCAGTAGGTTTCCATCTGGCCCTGGAAGAGAAGAGATGCATTATGTTTAAGACTCGTCAGCATTCACAAATCGCCCATATATAGGTTTCCAATCCTATATTTGTTTTGCTCTCCCAAACTAGATCTGACACCGGATGAACACTTTCGTGTCACCAAGCATCTGGATCAGATTGTAG